AAACTCAAACAACAGCAGCCACTGGAAATCAAGGGAACTTAACTAAGAATTTAACAGATCAGCAAAACACGCCTCCTTCCCATTTCAGCACGTCCAGAGTGGACTCGTTGAGGAGGGAGAGGCTGTTCTTTGGGTGGGGGAAAGTTTTGAAACACTACCCATCATCATAAATCACTTTAGAATAGGATGGCTGAGGACTTAACCCCTTCCATACCGAGTAATCAGGATATTCTCTGTCCCCGTCTGTACTCACTCTGCACTTCGGGGCGAGAAAGTTCTCAGATTTCTGCTTGGTTTTCCTAGAGACAGATAATCATTTGGGTCGGGGTGCTTGGCTGCACACACAGAGATAGCATATATATATTTAGAGTTCCATGAGTATATTTTTATCTTTTCCTCCCTGCTTCATGCATTTAGTTTGAGGTTGGAAAAGCCCGTGGAAAACATGACTGGGTTGTTTTTATTTTATGCTAATTGGAGATCATATTACTGTATTCTTGCTCCTAGTTTTCTCCTTGGCATAGAAGGAAGCTGGTAAAAGGTTAGAAATGCAGGCAATAGCTGTTGTTCCCCTGAGACCAGTCGGCCATTGCGTCAGGGGAGGGGCACAGTTCTGGGTTCTGCCTAGAAATGGTAGGCTAAGACCTTCCTCAGAGGCATGAGTGTGTGTGTGTGTGTGTGTGTGTGTGTGTGTGTGTGTGTGTTGCTCTCCAAAAGCTTCAGGTATCTATAGGGCTTTAGACAATCCTTCGAAATAGCCATATCAGGTTCCACAGAGACTGAGGTTGCTGTGTCCATCTCCTGAGTCTGTCATAGGGATTCAGCTTTTAGATGGGTGGAAAGGTGCCTCAGGTTATACAAACATTTTGTCCAGATTTTCTAAGAGAATTCCATTGGTATGAATTACCAGAGACTGTGGTGAGCCAGGGTTCTCAGAATGCCCTTTGCAAACTAGGCCATGCCAGTGGCAGCTCCCACAGAATAAAGCCTGGTCCTTTGTGGCTACCCCTTGATCAGCCCATCTCCAATGGGTCATATGCCTTTCCTTCACATGAGCTCCCAGCACGGAATTGAAGACCTGTAGGGGGTTGAGGGGAAGGCACTCAGCCCACAGCTTGAGGACCGAGGGGTGCCCAGAGGGAAGGCCCTGCTATGGAGCCCTCACAGCCTCTTGTGACGGCAGCAACAAAGGTGGGCTTCAGACACAGACCCTTTGTCCAGTCAGAGAAGGTGTTTCCTTTTATGGGCTTCACCTCTTACGTTGATCAAATGCCTGTGCTAAGTTATATAGCAAGCATGTCAAACTTGCGGCCTGCAGGCTACATGCGGCCCACAATGAATATTTTTGCGGCCCAGCCAATATAACGATATGTAAGAAACATTTTAATAAAAATTTCTTAACTTAATTTTTACAATATCCTGTTATACATAATTATTAATAACGAACTACAACATTTGCTAATGACTGATTACTATAATCATGTTGCTTTCATTTCCTTTACATACCTTCCGTGCAGGCACACCATTTTTCTCCACCAACACTAGCAACGAATATTTTAGCAGCCAATTGCCATGTCATTAGTCTTGTACTTACTTGTTTGGTGCATGCAACAGGAAATATTTCAGTTTCAGAGAATAAGAAAAATAGGTTTATTTGCGTTACACTTATTCATTTGTGCAGTTATTCAGTGTCTGGTAAGTTAATGTTCAAGAAAAAATATTACTTTTTATTAAAATGTTTTATTATTCTATGTTAATGATTACTCATTTATTTCAGCCCTTTGTATTCAGCATGTCTCTATCAAAATAAACCTATGTTTCTATGAAAATTGAAGCTTTTGTCTTTTTTGTGGCCCACATAAACTTAAACCTTGTTTATTTGGCCCGTGTGAGCCTTTGAGTTTGGCATGCTTGTTATACAGTCCTGGATGTTATATCCTTTCTCAAAGCATAGTGTGTTTGGTACTATCCCTTTCAAGGTCTTTCCTCTTCTTTCTATTCTCCTTACTAATAACAACTATCATTTATTGAGCATTTTCAGGTGAGGCTCTGGGCTTGGTACTTTCATATATTCTTTTATCTAATCTTCCTAATATCCATAGGAGATAGGTAGAATTATTCCCATTGGACAAACTGAGGCCTAGGGAGTTTAAATACATTCCCTACTCTCACACAAATGTAAGTGGTAGTGGTAAAATTGACCCACCTACAAAACATGTGTTCTCTTGCCTCCCCCTTTTATTTTCTTCCCACACTTCCTCTTATTTCTCTTCCTTTAATACCTTTTTATATTTCCCATATTCACAGATGAATCTCATTTGTTTACTCAACCACAGCACTTATTATACTTTTAGAATCCTACTTTCCGGAGTAATTTTGTAGTAGTAGTTTTTACCTTTCTTAATAGGTCCTTAAAGCCTTGTCCTTTTTCTTAAATATCACAAGTCTTCCACCAGCCTCCTAACAATGTGCACCACATTTGTCACCTGTGCACTAGTAAAGTTCAAATACAGACACTTTAGTGACCAGAATTTCATTAAGAAGGGAAGCCAGCCCACCCGTGAGCTGTGTGTCTTCCTGGGAACTTCAGGTTTTCTTCCTTTCTGTAATTCTCAGCCACCAGATGGCGCGCTCAACACATTTATGGGAGAGGACCTGATACTGCCATCTTGGTGTCTCCTTAATACCTTCCCACCGCCCACACAGACACACTGGCAAAGTGGGGCTTCTCAGTGGGGCTTCAAAATGGGACTTATAGTCCATTATTTAAAAGCCATGTATTAAAAAGTCCCCTACTTAGACCTTTCCATCTTTTCTGTAACCTGAGAAAGAAACATGAACTAATTAGCAGAGATGAGCAAGAAGAGGGGGGGGGAGGGGGGGGAGAGACATCTGTGCTGTCAAAGAAAGGTAAAAGAAATAAAATTCAAAAGTAGATTTTAGAAGTGCTAATTTTGGAATTCATCAACAAGAAACTCCCTGACATTGGTTGCATAGTAATTTGAAGGGAAGAAAGGCCAGAATGTGCGAAACAAAATTGCTTTAGAGATACAGCAATTTTGATGAAAATCAGAGTGAATGTATGGTGGCATCCAGAAGGGGGTGTGCTGACTGATCAGACCCACACTGACCTAAGTCCTCAGCAACCTGGGACCAAGACTCAGGGAACTATGTCCCAGGCACCCTAGAGAAACCATGGTTTCTGTGTAAACACAGAGTTTATTCCCTTGCACAGAGTAACTCTTGGTGGGTGTTACTGAACTGGAATCAAAACATTGTTCTATTGCCTGAGGAATCTCTTTGCTTAAGAGGGGAATGGTGGGGAAAGAAAAGGAAGCAAAATATAAGCTCTTCATTGTGGTCTTGGAGGGAAACCACCTCTCCTGCTCTGTTTCCCCCAGCAGAGCCATTTTACCACACTTCTATGGCAGAGACACAAACAATATTCAAGCTGAGGATAATGCTACATGCTTTTTCTTTCCATTTGCAGACTTTACTCGATGTCCAGTCTTAGGCCACACCTGTCTTTAAGAATAAAAAATAATTCTCTTTCTCAGTATTCACAGAGTAGGACACACTGAAGAGATAAACTGCAAGGTCAAGGGGAAAGCCCACAATGACTATTTATTACTTCAGGATGCTGCCACAGCCCAGAGAAGCACTGAGAGAGGGTAACCTCCTCTGAAATGGCTTTGAAATGTCAACAGGTCACATTTAATCCAAAAAATACATATATTTATGTATACTATAAATAAATAAATAAAAACAAAAGTTACCTGATAGGACAGTGACCAAAACTATTTGGAAGAACAGTTTTAATATTCTGTTTTATTCATTTGTTTTTAATTACTTTAGAGTTTATTGGAAAAATCTTGGAGGCACTTTTTTTCCTAGGTGGAAAGTTGTTTAATTAAGAAGTTGTCAAACTCCTAATTAGAACAAATTGAAGGATCTTGCCTTAGCAGAGATTAAGGAGCTATTTAAAGGAACTAATGGCTCCTTTAAAAATGTTTACATCAGTGATTTAAAGTTCCTATTTTTATTGGTTGCCATTCTGTGTGAGCAGTGTAAACTTGTGGGTGTATCGATTTGCTGCTTGGGAGAGTTGGTTCTAGGCTGGGAAGAGATGGGCAGTACAGGGTTCAAAGTCTTAACCGTTGGTCATTTAATGTATAAAAAAGATTTATAGCAATCAGATTTGAAGGGACAATTTTTATTAAGCTGCTCTCCATTCTCTTAGGGATAGCCAAGAAGAGTCGTGATCCATTTTTCTTCTCCCTTCTTTCAGCCTTTCTCTCAAAAGTTCTCCAAGAGTGCAGACTTTGTACCAGGAATGATAGCGAATCAGACAGTCTCTTCCCTTTAGAAGCTCACAGTCCAGTGGAAAAGATAAACAAATACTAGTTAATTGTACTCTCTGCAGCAACACTGCTGACTTTTCATTATGTAAAAGTCAGTGCTGACATGGCTGTAGCCAATGTGCACAGTTTATTTCTGTCCGACGGGTTCACTTCTTTGATTGTTGAAGCAGATTTTACCCAGAAAGAGGCTTCCCATGGCAGCCACTGTGTGGCTCCTGGAAAATCTTGCATGGCTGTTCCCCTGGCCTCAGAGGTCACTCGTCCATAAGAGCCCAAGACACTCTGTCCAGCAGGATGTGCCAGATTGTCTGACAGTCCTCTCATTCTCATTTCCCAGTTCCCATCATGCACCAGCCCTGCTAGGATTGCCTTGGCTTTCACTTCTTGTTTTTCCATATTGACCTTTTACCCCAGGTTTTGATTGCATCACTCAGAACATCACCTGACATAAAGAGGGGTTAACCAACAAGATCCCAATACGTTCAGTGAAC